TATTCTTACCGTGATTTAGGGTTCAAGATATATTTTCCAATCATATCCCAAACATCAAGAATAAAACATTCTAAAGCACAAAGGATAAGAATAACAACATCAAAACATAGATTAATATCTCAAAATATCACCATGATACAAAAGAGTTCAAAGGAAGTGCACCAAATCCCAAGAGAATGAAGTTAGTCACTCATGGGGGCCATTACAATGCTCCAAATGAGGAAGAAGTGAAGAATTGATGAAGATTTGACGAAACCCTAGTAGTAGTCATACCTCTTCTTCCCAAAATCGCTTCTTCTTTCTCAAAACTCGTCTTATCTTTTTATAGGAAAAATTGGGCTTTAGGGCTTTGCGTCTTTCGCTCAAGCGACAACACTTGTTCAAGCGAAAGTTCCCTATTTTCGCTCAAGCGACAAATCGCTCGCTTGAGCGAGTGATTTCCAGAGACGAATAACTAATATTCGCTCAAGTGAATTATTGGCGCTTGAGCGAATGACTTCTAGAGAAAAATAACAAGCGATAGTCTATCTCGCTCGAGCGACTTCCATGCTAAAAATTTTCTTCCTCCTTTCAGTTTTGCTCCAATTATGTTGACAATTATGCTTCTTACTCTTGTATCAAGGTATTCTCGAATTCATTCTATATTGGGAGAAAAATATATTATAATTAACATAAGTTAAGTGATTTCATAACAATTCAAAGTATAATTATATAAACTTTTTACCACTTAACATAGTGATTGTTATGTAACAGTGCTTATTATTTATTAGGCACATTATTATTCTTGTAGTGGTTGTTATGCAATAACCTATTTATTGGATATTATCAACATCTATTTTAAAAAGAGAAATTCATTTTTTTTCTATGTTATTTTCTATCAAAGTCAATGGTTCCTCTGGTGATCAACCGAATCAAGTACAAAGTAAGGTCACTACTTTGTAAAGTATATCTATTTGAGATGAATATTTGTACAAGTAAAAATCACTAGTAAGGTACTCATGATTAAGAGATACTTCCGAAGGGGGAGAGTGTCAATATGTAGGAACTCACTCTTAAAAAAAAATATTGGAATTTAAGTATGAGTCTCAAGTCTCACGTTAGATACAAGATGAGAATTTAAGTAATATATAAGTGAGAAAAACTCACAAATATATTATTTTAAAATTTTTAGTTGAAGTGGTATTATATTATTTTATACAAATATAATGTGATAAATATTGGGTTAATGTAATAAAAAAATAAAAAGTTGGACATGTACTAAATACTCATTTAGCAAAACAAATTTGTTTTGTCACCTATAAAATTTGGAGATTTTTTATACCTATATATATATATATATATATATATATATATATATATATATATATATATATATATGTGGATACATTGATATTTTTATTTTATTTTATTTGAAATAAGATTATTTAAAATTTACTTTTTAAATATATATTTTAACAAACTTTTTATCTTAAAGTATAGTTTAAATAAAATAATATCATAAAATAATATTATAAATAAAATTAATCTTTATAAAATACTAATTGAAGTAAATTATATCATAAAATATATATTTAAATAATATTATTCTTTTTAAAAATTAATTCCATAAATTTAAAAAAATTATAAATTCAAATTATAAACGATGAATTTCCTTACCACTAATTTTATTTTAACAACTTGATTTTAAATAAAAATTATTTGAAGACAAGGAACACACGTGGAGGATACAATGATACCCATTCTTATTAACAAGTGAGTAGTAAAATATTTGTATGTATTACTTAGGAATTTTATCTACGAATATTGATGTACATAATTTTTTTTTTCATCTTTAATAATAACATAATTTGACGGATATGAACAGTGGTTATTTCTTATCCCTCTCATTATTTTAAACGAATATTTGTTACCCAGTTCTGTTTTTTCTTATTATTATTTACTTATAGACATCCATAAAACCTATAAATATTTTAATTTTATTTTTAAAGTTTATAAATAAGATTATTTAAAAAATATTTTTTAAGATATAAACATAGAATAAAAAAATTATCTTAAAATATAATTCAAATAAAATAAAATCAGTGTAATGTGAAGAATGATTAAATATTTTCATTAAAGACAATGGATTCAATTTCTATAATTAAAAATGTGGCATGCATGGAGGACAGTACACACACCTAAAATTTCTTAAAAAAATTTCTTATCATTTGTTCTATCTACCAGGTTTTTTTAGGTAATATATGGGGACATTGACATGAATTTCTGGTGGTTTCATGCACACAAATAGCCAAAAAAGATTACGACGTGGGTGATGACTAAAGAGGTGTGGTTGGAAAATTATATTAAGTTCCACGAACTGTTTTGTCTGTGGTTTCACTGTCGCATCAAATATAAAAAGTAAGTTTGGTTGGTGATTGTCCCTTTTCTGGGATTGCCCTTTCAACTCTTCATCTTCACCATCCAACTAACTCCATAATACATACAAATCAATTACAATCATAAAAAATTGTTATCATTTAAAAAAAAAATCACTTTTTTAAAAGTTTTATAGACTACTTTTTATTCTCCTACACAGACTCACCATACAAGTTATAAAAATTAACTTATGCATAAATTAATCATAATTTATAAAAAAATTCATTTCATTTTTTTTCTATTTTTCTTTTCTAGACATAAGAATTTTTGTAATATAATAACATAATAGTAGTGGATAATATACAGTACATACCACCAAGCCGAATGAATAAATTCAATACATTTGAAGGTTGGGCTCCTTTGCGATATGTGGGCTTTTTACCCAATTCGAAAAACCTACAAAACTAAAAAAAAAAAAGTTTTAATGTTAACTTTAATCACAATCCCATGCTCACTATTTAACATCATTTAAACGTCCAAATAAAATCTAAATCATACCAACATATATATTATTTATTAGGTTATTTACTCATGTAAGAAGTTTTTTACAAATTTTATGCAATTTATTTTATCAAGAAAAATTCAGAACTTATTTTAAACTTGAAGCAATTTGGTATATCAAAATGGGAAATATTACACTAATATTTATATTCTTAATTTTGATAATTCCTATATATAAAATAAGAATTTAAAATTCTCAAAGACTGATTTTTTTTTAAAATAGAATATGATGAAATATTTTTATTATGATAAAATTATATATTAAGTAGAGATACATTAACATTATTACATGTATATGAATATAATCTTAATCATATTAAATTAATTTTGTAAAACTGAATTAGGTAATCAAATATTTATAAGATAGTATTAAAATTAATTCTACTAATATTGATACATAAATAATTCTTTTTAAAAGTGAAATTTGTGATAATTTTGTTTTCAAAAATAAAAAAAAATGTGATAAAATTTCACATCAACTAAATATATCATAGTATTTTAATATATAGATAAATACTATTTTCACCTCACCATATCAAACTAATTTTGTAAAATTGGGTTAAACACTCTTCTTTACCTTTAAATATTATATTTATGAATTATACTTAGAAATTACTTAATTTTTTTATTCTTTTATAAGAAAAAGAAAAGAAAAAAAAATAGAAACTAAGAGGATTATCTATCTAAAGCCTAATAGTTTGCATTATGTCAAATACCTTTCTTCTTTCCTTCTCAAAGTGGGCAGAAAGAAAAGAAGATGGGAGACTCAACGTCCTTTAATTACTCAAAAATGAAGATGCTTTCTCCATCTTCCATGAACCGATTCAAGTTGTCTTCGGTTGGTAATGCATCATCATCCACACAAAAATAATAGCCCATGCCACTGTTAATTATTTTAATTCCTACATAAAAAGACACATTGCAGCTTTGGATGGTCAACTTCATCAAGAGCTTCAGCTTTTTTGGTACAATATCATATGCTTTAACACCTTAGTAGTTCTTTTTCAACTTTTTTTAATTTTCTTCTCTATCACTCGTTTATTCTATTCCAATAATCTTAACTACAATGAAACAAACAACACCATTCTTTAGGTGAATGCTGGCATCATTTGCTATTAGTTACTTCCACCAACTTTCCACACATATAAACTATGAAGAAATTCTTTTCAAACAAAAGCAATTTTAGATTATAATTTATTCAAAAATAACTCCTTTATAATATAATGCAGTATGGGATTAACAATAAATATTAAATTTTTATTTTTTTGAAAAACTTTTTAAGGTGTGAAAAATATCATTTTCCATAGCCATTTCCATTTGCTATGATGTTCCACATAACTCAGAGTGTTACCACCCACTTGATTTGCTTATAGATTAAGGAAGTTTGTTAGAACACTAAGTAATGTGCTATCAAATTTTCGCTCGTCTTTCACCATCAAAATCTATGAAAGGGTGAAAAGTGAAAACAAGAGAAAAGAACAATTAAAGCGATGAACACATTTTGACTTCATCAAATTTTCCTTCTTTCTTTCCTTCCATCATGCTGTGATTTACGATATTTGGCAGCACTCAACCCCACACCCTTTTACTTCAAACTCCACTTTATCTATTTGTCAATGATTTTATCCTTCCATCTGGTTTACACATAATAATATTTGAGTTTAACTAAACACATTTTATCAAACTCACATTAATTACATACCCTTTTTTTCTTTATATTTCAAACTATTATGAGGAATATTGACACCTACATTTTCAAGCTCCAATCTAGAAAAGCATAGACAAATAAACAAACTAAGAACAAGGGGTTGAAAATATGCTCACTAAAGACAGATAAATCTCAAAAATCCTCAGATCAACAAATAAAATCCAAAAACTCTTGATAATAAAACTCACTATTTCCTTGTGATAAAACAAGACAAATTTGTACATCTCTCTCTCTCTCTCTCTCTCTGCCTTACCTATGTTCTCAAGTCTCAATCTCAAACAAATATATAAATTTACACTCATCTGTACACATAGACTACCTTTCTTGATTTGCAGGCAAAAAATTAAAATTCTGACAGCAAAATTCTCTAAGCATTCTACAGCATGACACGTGTGATTTGTGTGTAACCCCTTTCCTCTATATGCCTTGCTTTGATCTCTTCAGCACACCTTAGGGTCCTCTCAATGTGGTAACCTCCTCCAATGCTGACTTCCCTCTCCAAATGGCAGCAATAGCTCTCAAACACACTCAAATTCACATGCAATTTGAAACCCATCATGAACAGAAATTCAAGCTCCAACTCATTCAATTCATTTGTTGTCAACCCACCAACTCTTGCAAAGTATGAATTTCTGAAATTCCTGTCAAATAAGAAGAACCAACTTTAGTATCTATCACATGATGCCCTGTTTTCAAATCCAAGAAATTAAAAAGACAAACTATGATGCATTAACTACAACATCCACCTAAACTGGGTGACCTAACAAAATGTCCACTTCCTAGGCTGTTAGCCAGTAGTATTCCAACTGATTGAGATTGAAAAGACACAAACTTTGTCTCAATTTAACAAACCCCTAACCAAATTATTATCAAGAATTTTCTTCAAAAAAATTTTTGGACATCACTGGTACAATTATTATTTTGGATTAATAGTTCAATGAGTTTGAAAGCATCAAAGGATAGATAAAGGCAGAGTTTTTCAATGACAGTAAGTTTCTGAGGGTTCCATAGAATTTTTCTTCAGAAAAAGTAACAATTGACAGCATTTTCATGTTTTTAAAAAATTCTTCTGAAGAGAATCTGTTATTAAGTATAATTTGAAATTTAATATTTCTTCAATGTTAATTCAACCCTAGACATGAACAAAAAACCAAGAAGAGAAACAAAAGAGGGAGAAGAGAACTTACATGTCTTCCACATACTTAGAAGCCACCATAATAGTTGTTATCAGAAGTCTGTGCACATTTCTGGCATTGATCCTAAACCCAGGATTGTTTTGGCAGAACCGGTCAATATAGACATAGGCCACAACATACACTGATGGTCCTGCCCTAGTGTACCTGAAAATTCTCTCTAGATAGGATTGAATGGTCATATCAGGAATCTCCCTACAATCAAAGATGTTTGTGCTGATGGCTTTGGACAAAGCACTTGAACAGTTCTTCACAATCCTTTGTGTCCTAGCCATGCTTCTTTCAATAAGTGAAGCCAGAACATTTATCACTAATGGGGTATTGGAATCTTCTTCGTATGAATAGGAATAAAGATCATAGCGTAGCTTCCTTGGGGATATCGTAAGAGAAGAAGAAGAAGAAGAAGAAGAGGCCATGAGAAAAATTGTATCTTTGTAGTCTAGAAGAGGAAGGTTTTGAAAGGGATTGATCTAATAGGCTCCAAGTCCAACAGGGTATTTGCTGTTGAAAATTTAACAGCAAATGATGATGGGGTTGTGCTAGTGTTGATGAAGAAGGTTTTTCGAAGAAGGCTTTATATATAAAGGAGAGTTGGGATTGGAAGAGTGGGGAATAAAGAGAGAGATTTGTTTCTTTATTTTATTTGTATGAAAATATTATTTTGTGTTGTTTTATTGGGGTGAGAGAAAACTAGAAAGGAAGGGTTTTGGACCATTCGGAATCAAGGATAGTGGGTGGAAGCTTGATAATAAAAAAACATGAAAATGAAAACTATTAAGATATGAGTGCCTCCTCTTTTTGATGTCAAAGTACAAACACTCCAGCTAAGCTTTCTCTCTCTTAGTTGCATAAAAAACAAGACAATATCTTCCACCATGTTCTTCACAAGTTTTTGGTGCATGAATCACCCTTAAATTTTAGCCATTGATCTTCTATTTAAACAATCAATGGCAAGAAGCAATAACCTGGAACCTGCTGAACAGATTACTATTGTCCATTCAATTATTTATTGTTTAACCCTTTACTCTCTCTTTTTTTTTTTCCTTTTTACTATGCTTTCTTGACCTCAAAATCCTATTTTTTTTTCCTAATTATTAAAGAATATATATTTTGAGAGCTAGTAAAATATTACACAGTTGAATGTCCATTTTCAACTTGAATTTTCTGTATAATTAGTCCTTGAACTCCTTTTTTACCTTAATGCTATTAAGCTTACAATGGATGATTTTAATTTCGTTAACTCTTTCATTTCACTAGTCTTAGTTAATATAAAGGAGTCAAAATTTATATATATAATGACCATAATGAGATCAGAACCTATAATTTTATACAATCATATAGTATTCTTACACAAAGATGAAACATCTGAAGAAGCATTGCTTTTAGAAAAGAAAAATGATTTCTTTTACTTTATTTATCTACATTACCTTGTATAAAAAGAAGGAAAAGACAGGAAAAAAGAAAAGAAAAGCAAACAACAAGACAAATAAATAATGAGGTGAAATAGATAAAATTATAAATTTTTTATTGATAAGTAATATATGATTTTAGTATAATTTGTTCCTGAGACTGATAATCTTGTGAAGATCAATTTCTCTTTCTGTGGAAACTTTAATGCAACAAATGTAAAATTGCAGAATTCTCCAAAAACAATGTTATATAGCTGGCATGTTATTATGTGGGTGTTATGGACCTACAAAATTAAAGCACACCTAAATGTAATTATAATCTAATAAATGATTGATTAATTAATATCTTAACAAATAAATAGAGAGTAATTCACATGAAGACAGTGTCATTTTGGTAATTAAATTGACCGTTGACCATTGACCTTTGCCAATGAGATATGTGCTGTTTGCGAGTCCCAGTGACAATTCCCTCGTAGAACTCACTTGTACTAGTATAACTATACGACAAAATTTAGGTATTTTATTCCATCTCATTTAGTATATGCCTAATTACTTTTTATGTAGCACTAATTTAAGTCTTTTAGTTTATATAAAAAAAAACTAATAATACTATTATAATTAAATTTTAAATATACTTTTAATCATCAAAATAAAAAGTTTCATTTTGATCTCAATAAAAAAATTATTTTTCATTTTCTAAAATTTAAAATCACTTATTTTAACGTTTTAAAATATCTGTAAAATATTATTGCTAAAACTATTATTTCTTTAAAATTTAAAATTTCTAGTATTAATATTTTATATTTACTCTATTTGTTCTTTGTTATAAGGTAGAATTTTGGAGAAAAAAGTTCTTAATATAAGTTATTTTACTTATATGGCTCTGATTGTGTGTGTTGTTATTAATTAATAAGGAAAAATAGAAATTAAAAAATAATAATAAAATAAAATGAATTAATCATTTTTCTTGATGACCCCTTGGCTTTTTATTTAATATATAAATAATTAATTATTATGGCATAATATCAGAGATAAAAAAAATTAGTTATAAGAAATAAAAAGCAAAAAAATATTTTACAAAAAATTAATTTATAGATTATTAACATCAATAAGGTAATTAGAAAAGAAAAATAAAAAAATACAACTCATCCATCCATGCTAACAAACGTGCAATGGGCCTTCTTAAAACTCTACAATCTTGGCTTTAATTTGTGAATTGAGTTGAACACGTGCCTTATCCTCTAACCTTCTTTCTTGTTCAGTACACGGAGAAATTTAGATTTATTTATTTATTTATTTAATATTTATAAAATTTTAACTTGTTGAGCCTTAATATTTTCTATCACGTGACTTGTAATTTCTCATTTTAATATATTTGATATTTGATATGTAAAAAAACAGTTGAGATTAACTAACTAAAATAAGATTTTGTGAATTAATTTCTCTTGTTTATCTTAAGTAAATGTGAATTTGTGAACTGATCCATTACATTTAAAAACAAAAAAAGATTTTAATAATAGAAATTTTAGATCTCGTTTTAAGAATTTGTCAGACAGAGAACAATATTTGTATTTTACAATTATGCATTGACAAAATTAATGCATTATCCATCTATTTTTAGTTGATGGAAGACATTGCGATTCAATGTCGAATTCCTGCTAAAACAAATCTGAACCTGGGTACACAAAACAACGTCACATAGTGTCTTTGGGTTTCCTTATCTTTCTAATTAAAAGTTTGTTATGAAATTTCTCTTTTATGTTATATAATAATTGTTGATATATCTTGATTCAGAGGGCGAACGAGTTTTTTTTTTTAATCTATGAGATGAGGGAGGAACATTTATAAAAGTTCTCACATGCTTAAATAAGCTTAACGAATGAAATAAAAAATAATCATATCTAATAAAAAATATCAAAACCTTTTATATATATTATCCATTTTAAAATTCTAATTTATCATAATTTTATTTTTAAAATATACTTTAATGGATTAAGAGATGATAATATATATAAACTACTATTGACATTAATTTTTAAGTAATACATACTTATAAACGTTGAGCAACATGTCCTTAATTGGGATATATAAATTATTATTGACATTAATTATTAAATAATAAGAAACCCATGAATGTTCATGAACATAATCCCCCATTAAGGACTAAGAAATATATATGAGTGGAACGTGATTCTATCTTCGGTTCACGATGAACGTCAATGTTCTATTTACACATAAAAAAGATTTTTGACTTTATATTTATTGTGATAATTTCATTAAGATTAATTACTACATCGGAGATATTGTAACTATCCCATAATCAATATATTTTTATCTCTTTCGGATGTAACTATGAATAACACAAAATATCTTATGTTTTATTTATCCAAGATAAGTTATCTGGGTTATTTATTAAGAGTGGATATGATAGATAGTATTATGTTATATAAATGAATTAATTTATATTTTAATTTATAATAATTTTAATTACTTAATTTTAGACCTATATTATATATGGTTATATCAATAAATCTCACTTTTCATCCATTAACATTAACTTGAACACATGTGGTCACTAAATTGCTAGAAATGCAGGAAATGATGAAAAGAGTAAATGTAGAAGAAGATATAAAAACAATTATGAAGTGTAATTTAATTTGATTGATTGAAGTGGTTAAACTGGTTTCCTTTGTCTCATGGGTTTACAGCTGCATAAGCATAATGTGTAGTGATGTTGGGTTGTTTTGGTTGTTATAACATGATTGATGATCACTTTTGTAAATGTAAGTACAACTTCCCTATTAATTATATGCATTTACTAATATTGATTAATAATTTTAGAGTTAAATGATTAAATTTATACATTTAAAAATTGGTAAAATAATAAAGCAGCAGAAGATGGAGGAATGATTTGATTGTCTCCTGCGAAATCTATTGGTATATAAGAAGTACAGAATTGGGAACCGACATGCATAATTGATTTACAAGAAAAGTACTTTGAAATTATTAAATGCAGCAAAACAACAAAAACAAATGACAAAAGATCGACCTCAACACACGTATATTGTCATGCTTGTGAGTTTTGGTCACAATCTACGGTTGGACATATTCTATTCCATCTTCCAATAATCGTACAACTTCACCATTTTAATCATTCATAATTCTTCATTTTCCTACACTTTACAAAGTAACCATGTCACAACAAAATCTACTCTTTTAGGATTCTAATCCAACACATTTACTCACATGTAATCTTTCTAAAATTGGATTGTAAATTAAAAGATATGAATTCAACATTTTTAAATTCAATCAAAATTTAATTGAATTTAATAAAAATATATTTTTATAATATAATAAATATATTAATAATACCTTTTAATAAAAATAAAAAAATTAAAATATGCTATATTTTTTTATAAAGAATTATATCAACAAAATTTGATTTTTTTTATCAAAACCAATTTTTCTAATTTTATTATTTTTATCTTAATTTTTTAATTTTGTCTCAATTTAATTAAAATATAATTATTTAAAAACAACAGATTTAATTCTCAATTAAATCGGTTAGACCAACTGATACCATGTAATTAATAGCCATATAAAAAAATAAAAATTAAATATGGTTGAAATAGTTTTAAAAAATTGTCAGAGTAATATTTATATAAATTTTACCCTCTTCTCATTACTATTTGTAAGGATTTTAATATGATATTTTGAAAATTTCGTACATAAGATAAAAGTAATTATTCATTATTATTATTTTAGGTGTTTTATATTCTTAGAAAAACAAAATACTCATACATTAATAAATTCGTTAGTTATAATGTTGAATATAAAAATAATTTTATTTAGTGGACATATATTCCTATTTTTATTGTGTGTATCTTCTTTTAAAACATAGGAGGCGTGTCTGGATTTATATTTGTTTAATTTTATTATGAGGTTTGGATTTTATATTTGATTTTTTTATAATATTTTATATGTTGTAAATGATATATCAGTTTAGA